AGAAAAAAAATTTATCTCCACACATATGGTTGCTGCAGCCAGTGTCGAGATACCACAAGTTCTTATTAGTTTCTTCCCTTGCATGATAGACCATCAACAAAGATATTTCCTCCTTTGTTTCTGCAAAATGAGGCTTTTCTCCATCCTTCTTAGGCAGTTTAGCTCGACATTTAGATTTGTAATGTCTATACTTGTGGCATCAATTGCACTCAATAGTAGACTTGTTTGCAGACTTTGGCTTGTAAGTTGCTGAGTGAAATTTGCCATGTCCTCTTCCTTTCCCTTGGGAATCATAAGATTGAGTTTGACGACTCCTTCGATCCATATTTCCTCTGCGTCTTCCCGTGTTGGCTTTATGTAGTGTTGAAGAATAGTGATTAGTTGATACCTTCAATGCTAACTCATCCTTATCTTGTCGATTCAACTTCCTTTCATGTACCAACAAGGAACTTTCAAGTTCATCAAGTGACATTTCATGAAGATCATTTGTCTCCTTAATAGCACAAACAACAAAATTATATTTTGGTGTCACTGAATGACATATCTTCTCAACAATAGTAACATCTTGTGTCTTATCTCCATGGGTCCTCAGTTTGTTGACAATTGCCATTGTCCTAGAAAAATAGTTTGTAACAGTCTCACCCTCTTTCATTTGAAGTATTTTGAACTCCGAATGAAGTGCTTGAAGCTACTGCCTCTTTGTCTTTGTGGTTCCTTGGTACTTTTTCTTCATTGAATCCCAATTTTGCTTGGAGGTATCTTTGCAAAGAATAGTCTCCAAGATTGTCCAATCAATTGCCTGAAAGAGATAATTTTTGACTTTGAGATCCTTCAATTTTAAAGCCTCCAACTCTACCTTCTTAGCTTCTAACATCCTAGCGGTTGGTTCTGTTACCCCCAGATTCAACCACATTTCAATACTCTTTGGACCTCAAGAAATTCTTCATCAGCATGCTCCAATGATCATAGTGATCGTCAAAATGAGGAATTGCTAGCTACACAAAAGATTCGGAGGCCACCTTTGCTGTTGCTGCCTTCAATCTCTGAACAAACCAGGCTCTAATGCCAAATGTTGAATAAAAGGGGTCAAATAATGGAACACTCTCTCAGGAATTTTAACAAACAGTTGGTGAGCGTAATGAACAACAAAGAAAAAACTAAGCAATCGGAGAAGTAAAGATCACAAGATGCTTTGTAGATCTCAAGTAATAATGGAATAGAAAGAAATATATTTTAAATAATACCAGTTATCAAACAAATGGCCCATAAAATAGTCAAGGTGCCAACAAATAAAGCTACCAAATAGCAACCACTATGCTGAAAACCAAAACACGTTAAACAACTTCCTAATAATTAGGAAACACGAAGAATAACTGCTTTATATTCAAATTCACAATTGCGCCTACTATTAACTTATGAAGAAATCCGCAAAAATTGGTCAATGCTACAATAGCTTCTCAGTTACCAAATTAAATTAGCAGCTGATGAGAAATTTAGAAATTATGAATTCCCTTTTTGAAATGTATGAATATATTCCAATAATTTGAATAAAATAGTGGAGTTCAAATTTTCAAAATGAATGTCAAGGCTAATACTTTAGTCAGAAAAGTTCTTGTTAGGGAGTATTTGGGCTCAAAGTCATGCTGCAAGTATTGAAAAGGGTTTGTTTAATCTATACCCTAAAAGTATA